TGATATTTGTTGTGAAGACTCCTTCCCTCTCTGTTGGTAGTTAAGAGTTACTATCTCCATGAATATAGGTCAAGTTCATCAAATGGTAGCAATTTTATTTCCTTTATCAAAAATTGTTCTGTTATTATTTTTTTTCTTTTAAATCTTCCTCTAGTTGAGTTCTGATTACCAAGTCATCGAGGCTAGGTCAAATGGGTTCTATCTGCAAGTTTGGGTGTTCTTGTGCATCTCCCCTCACTTCATATCAGCTGGATACTTCACTCTCAGCTATAGCCCTCTGTGGCTAGGTCCTTGTCCATAGGCTCAGGTGTCCCCAGGTCTTACCACACTTTGGACCAATCAGTCCTTCCTCTTCTCTCTCTCATTTCAAGGTCAGCGGGAGTTAGCAAACATTTTTCTTATTTGAGGACATATTGAAAGTTTATGCTTTTCATCTGAGATGGGGAACAAGATCAGAACGTCTATTATCATTTCTATTCAACATCAGAATGAAGAGGTACCCAGAGAAATAAGATCAGAAAAAGTGAGATAACATTTAGGTGGTGGTTATGTGTCATGGAGTGGGTTCCAACCCTGTGGAGGGTTTTGGAGGCTGTAAATCTTATGGGAGCAGAAAGTCTCATCTTTCTCCCATGGAGCGGCTGGTAGATTTGAATTGCCAACCTTATGAACTCATAAGCAGCCTAATCCATAACCCACTAAATTTCTTTTTAATATGACTGTATACATTTTTTTAAAAAATCCAAAAGAATCTATAAAATACTAGAATGCATGTAGTGAAGTCACTGAATATAAAAGTTACTTCTATAAGCCAGAAACAAACACATAAAAAGAGAAATGAAAGAGTCATTAATATCACAAATCATCAAAGACCTAAGAATAAACCTCAGACAAGGTACATAAGATTTTATACTACAAACTATAATCTATTGCTGAAGGAGCTCTGGTAGCGTAGTGGTTACGAATCGGTCTGCGAACCATAAGGTCAGCGGTTCGAAACTACCAGCCGCTCCGCGGGAGAAAGATGAGGCTTTCTACTCCCGTAAAGATTTACACCCTCGGAAA